TTATGGTAGACTTGTATATATGGTAGAGTTATTTTTCATGCTTGAGGTAGACTTAGTTGTTAATGTTTGGCAGACATTTGACTTTATGGATTGAAATTACTTTTTTATCCTAAAAGTATTGTCCTATCTACGAAAAAACCAGAGGTGTGGTAGACTTGTTTTGAAGTGTCGTATGTTAAACAAGTTTCGTATATATGGTAGACTTGTTCCATGGTTATATTTGAGTTGGTTTTGTTACCATTAACGTTTTCTTTGCATGAGTTTGCTAAGATTATGTCGGTTAACTGTGATTCGATCACAGATGATTATTGGTATTTACGATATAGATGCCATAATCAATGGTCAACAATTTCTAACATGAATATTTTTTCTATGATATATATTTTCTCTAAGATAACTTTGCTTTTCATATTAACTTTGAACATATATGTCATATCTATAATAACCATCTCTTAACTTATGATTTTTTTATTTTTATTTTTGAATATTTGTTACATTTAACTCTATTTACATAAACTTTTACAACATCACAATGTCAAATGATTTTAGTCATGTGTTTTGATTAAAAATTTATTCAGTTATGATATACATCATAGTGAAAGTAAAGAAATAAATTAAATTGAATAATAACATTACTAGCAAATATGGTAAAAATGTAAAAATGTCTGGGTCAATGTTTTACGACAAATATAATTTGAAAACAACAATATTATCATTTAAAATCTAATTATCATTTTTACAAATTCAAAATACAGATATACCATCAATTTAATAATAAATCTACCATTATTTCAAAACAAATCTACCAAATGCAAATCTACAATTCATAGTAAAACATGTCGGATCGATGCTGGATATCCCATCAAAGATTTGTTCACCATGGCAAACCCCATAATCTGTCAGAAAAAATAAACAAATACTGTCATTCGTATATAAAATTCAAATATATACGACTGCTAAACTTACCATAAATAACTAATAAATCTACCAAACACAAATCATTTTTCAAATAAGTTATCATTAAATGACTAATAAATCTACCAAACCACATCGTTTTACAAATAAGTCTATCATTAGATGAGTAATAAATCTACCAAATGACATCGTTTTTACTCTAAAATAATTTTACCATCAAATAACTAATCAATCTACCAAACCATATTTCGTTTTCTAAATATCTACCATCAAATAACTAATAATCTACCAAACTACATATCGTTTTTCAAAAAAATCTACCATCACATATTATGAACTTTACAACAACAAAATACAATAAATCTACCAAACTACTTATCGTTTTCCAAATATATCTACCAAACTTACTTGAAACAAAAAAAATTAGGGTTGCGGGTTTTACAGAAAAAAACTTACGCCGCCGTCAACCTCCGGGACACCACCATTTCTTCGAAACAACATCTGTCCAGTGCGGTTGTGCGCGATGCGGCGAGAACGCCGCTTAAGAGTCGTGCCAATATTTCCGAGATCTCTAACACCAACAGTAAAACTCCTCCTCCGCCAAACAGAAAGTAGAAGACGAAGAAGAAAGAAGAAAAAATAAGAAAAATGAGGATATATGTGAAAAAAAAACAAACCTGAACAAGTTTCTGAACGGCGATTGAGGTAAGATCTGTGTAGATCTGTGAAACAAAAGGAAAGCTGTGAAGAAAAAGCTGCGAAAAAAGGGAGGCTGCCAAGTTATGAAGAATAGTAGCTCCATGGGAGAAAAAAAAACGGCGCAGAAGAAAGAGAGAAAAGAAGATGAATTAGGGTTTTTTTTTTTAGTTTTTGGTTTAGTTTTTTTTTTTTTTTGCTGTTTTCGTTTTAAAAAAATGTTTTTTTTGTCAAAAAAAATTTTGATTTTTTAAAAAGTTTTTTTCGAAATTAAAGTTTTTTCGAAAAAAAAAAATTTATAAAAAAAAAATCATAATGGCATTTTCGTAATAATATTCAACATCTGGATAAAATGAACTTAAACCAACTTTATAAGGTTAGTCTAGTAAACCCTTCAATATGTTAGGTTAGGTTTATCATTTCATTAACTTTAAAGGTTAGTTGAATATACTACTCTGTAATATTTCGTCGTCTATCACTATAGGGTGAAAGAAAGAATATACGTGACACGACTCTGTAAAATGTATTTTCTTTGTAAATGGATTTGTTGTCTCAATAATAACTTCGTCGTCAGAAATTGATCACGATGGTTTTGATATATAATAGTTCAACCACTATCCTATCGTCTGGTTGATAATTTTTTTTTAAAGAAAAATATTAAACTGTACAATGTATATTATTGTTTGATGATTCTTGTGATTTCGAAAACCGTGCTTTTGAAATTAGTCTTAGTACGTTACGTAAGATCATAAACTAAATAAAATTCTTTTAAAAAATCTATCACAATTTAACGTACAAAAAATTCAAAATATTTATCGTGATTTCAATTTTATAAACATCTATTTTTAAAAATTGAAATTACAATCTGAAATTTTATAAAATATTTTGATTAACTTACAACTTTTCTAACGAAGTCATTTAAAAAAAAAAATCGAAAGAAGTGTAATATAGTAAATTTTCATTTTTAAATGGTCAACGTTTACGAATCTTCCTTTTTTATATAATTATTATGGTATTGTTAAGTGAACTTGTTTAGTTTCAATTAGTGAACTCGTTTAGGTTCGTTGTAAATGGTGTTCCGTACTAGATATCGTGACTGTCGAAATGAACCGTAACGAGCAGAACAATGTGCTTTGTAATGTACCGGTTTATATAGAAAACGGGTTTTATAAATATAGAACAATGTTACGCTTGATTTTCGATTTATCACACATTTGTGGAACTTCTTTTAATTCTTTATGTTTCTCTGTTTTCTTCAAAGCCGTGCCAGTGCTGAGATATCAATAGGGTAAGCGTCTGAAGGCGATTGTGCGTTGTACGATCTCTTTGCGATAACCACGTTTGCGGCTTCTGTCGGGTGAAAGGCGTCCCAGAACACGTACGCGTTTCGGTTTGGACATGGTCTCTGTCCTGGTAAGCATGTGATCTGACCAGCATTCCTACCGATACCGCAACATCCCGCGTTTGTCACTCTAAACCCTAAAAACCAAATAAAAACATTTCCGACAAAACCGATATCAAGTTTGGTTTCTTCAAACATTGAAATCAAAGACATTCTTGCGTGTGCATGTGTACATACCAAATCTAGAAGGATTTGTGATCATGTCCTGGAAAATGCCGTAAGCATTGATGTAGGTGAACCTTGCACCGTGATCAGTGTGATTGTTGTTGAGCTGATCAACGAGAGATCTGAGCTTGTTGTTAAAGATTTGGTTCGCTGAGTTAATTCGGTTATCACAAGTCTTTCTGTCGCGACTACGTGCGAGCGCGTTTGGACTACAACCGATTGCTCCAACTCCGAACAACGCAAACTTTCTTGCCCCATAGTTGTATAGCGCCTAGACAAAGCCCCAAAAAGGAAAGATTGTGAAACAAGGAAGTCTCCGAATGCAAATTCTTTTTACAAAATGAAAAGATTTTACTTTACATCTTTAGAAATTTTCATACGAAAAAAATCAGATCTCACGAGGTGGAAAAAAAAAACTAATAGAAAAAAAATTCCTACATTATATGACATATCTATTAGTTATGAGACCTCAACTTCTACTATAAACTGCTAATTTTGTAATTCTCTGCTTAAAAAGTCAAATTTTCATCAGATGGGCCATAATAGGAAAGGTAAATATGGAAACATTTTAAAGATATTCCGACCAAACACAATCCAAAAAACTTGATTATCACCAAATGGGTCAACTACGAGGGAGCCAAAGCATGCAACTTTGTGCTAACCGAGGATCTATTGACGACACAAAAGCAGAGCTAAAATAGAGTAACCATATCAGAAGAACGTACATTAAGCTGAGTTCTGTAGCGACTTATGAGATCGTTGGCGTATTGTTCGGGTGTGAATTGTCTACTAGAAGAGTAGAACGTAGGCATGAAGTAGTTGTTGAGATAGTCGTTGCTTCCTATACCAACAGAGTAAATGCATCTCTTGAGGTAATCCGCTGCCTGAGTCTCGCCTCCAAGCAGTCTTACGACCTGCCGCACCGTTCTCTGGTAGTTCCTAACTTGCCCGCTAAAGCTTATCCTTTGTCCCTTCATTTTCCAAGAAACGAAAAAAGGAAGTTGTGGGAACTTTTCTAATATTTTAGGAATGAGGATTAATTATTGAGAGAAAATGTTTTTATGTTTAGTTACCAATTGTCGACCGGTTTCTTCTCTGATTCCGGCAGCTGCAGATGCGTAGTTAACTCCGGTGAGTATTCGCCGACCACGCACGGCATTATACGCAGGAATGTAACCATTAAATCCAAGTAGCTCAGCTTCATCA